TGTTTAAAACATTAAAAATAAAGAAAAACAACAATAGACAAAAAGAAGGGTAAAGATGGCAGGATGACAAAACCGGGTGGGAACAAAGGAAAACAACCCAACATAGTCTAAAAGGAGGCTTCAGTCATCCTTGCCAAAGGCCTGGGCAAGCAGCCAGGTCTTCAAGGGCTTTCAAGACACCAGCAGAGTGGAGGCTATTTGGATATGGGGGGGGGGGACCTCATTCCAGAGGACAGGCACTGCTACAAAGAAAGTGCTCTTCTAGGGACCTGATAGATGGATAGGTATTTAACGATGGGTCATGCTGGCTGGAGCTTCTTAGAGTTGCTAACTCAAGACATCTGGAGGACATCACATTGGGAAAGGCCAAGATAAACAAGAACCGGTCAGACTATCTGCTTTTCAACTATGGGAGTCCACATTTTATGTTCAAGAGTTGTAAAGAACAAGATTTATTTATTGATTTCATTCATTCAGTTAAGGTGCTGCCTACTCCAAACCTACACTGGGCAGCTGACAATAAAATAAATAATAAAAACACAATATAGAATAGAACAAGATGGGGTCTGGTTACTCTGTACAAAAAACATAGAGCAAAACACATCCAACAAGGGGCTCCATCCATTTTAAACCAGGGCCAGGGCCAGCAACCAGGTCTTCAAGGTCTTACAGAATTCAAACAGGGTGGGAGCTGCACAGATTTCAGGGGAGATATATATCATCTAAATATAGCTTTTAATATGACCTCATTGTGTCAATCCCTAAATAAATCTAGGAAATGAAATGGAGCTATACATCCACGGATGAAGTAGTCCTACACAGCTTCTAAAGAAGCAGCAGACTGTGACTGTTTAGAATGGGAAAAAATACAAAATTATAGTAGATAACAAATTAAGAATGCAGTTGCAAAGTAAGTAGTTGTAAAACAGCACAGTTGTTGTAAGACACTGTTGCTCATTTTATTTATTATTTAGTGGGTGTATTTCTTTCTTTTACAGCTCTCTGTAGCAAGTTTTCCAAAGTTTTTTTTTTCAACCTTTTGAGATTTAAAGAAGATGCAGTTCATGCTATGAAATATTAAATATTGTCAACCAGAAGAAAAATAGTACTAATAAGAATTGTGATTCCTAATCCTTTAGATCAGTGTTTCTCAACCTTGGAAACTTTAAGATGTGTGGACTTCAACTCCCAGAATTCCCCACCCAGGCTTGGTGGCCTGGGGATTCTGGGGGGTGTGGGCCACATCTCTTTAATGTTCCCACGTTGAGGAACACTGCCTTAGGTGGCATTAAGGTT